ACAGTACAGTAGTTATTTGTACAGAACTTTTATTTGTTAAACAAATGCTTGGGCCTGTAAAAAGGTTTTGTTCTTTGGTTTGAATGTATTTTGGAGTATTTCATTGTATAATAATTGTAAAAAAATAAAGGTTACTACTTCACGGATTTCGCCTATCACGGGTTCTTTTAGGAACGTAACCCCCGTTAAAAACAAGGGTTCACTGTATTTTCAAAAGATCTGGATGAAGTGATAGAGAGTATTCCCAGGGAGGAGAGAGTGGTGATCAGAGCAGACCTGAATGGACATGTTGGTGAAGGAAACAGAGGAGATGAGGAAGTGATGGGTAGGTTTGTTGTCAAGGAAAGAAACCAGGAAGGACAGATGGTGGTGGATTTTGCCAAGAGAATGGAAATGGTTATAGTCAATACTTATTTCCAAAAGAGGGAGGAACATAGAGTGACCTTTAAGAGTGGAGGAAGGAGTATGCAGGTCGACTACATTCTGTGTAGAAGAGGAAACCTGAGGGAGATTGGGGACTGTAAGGTTGTGGCTGGGGAGAGCGTGGCCAGACAGCATCGGATGGTTGTGTGTAGAATGACTGTTGTTGTGAAGAAGAGAAAAAGAGTAAAAAGAGCTATTAAAGGCTCTGGGTAGTAAGAAAGAGCTTCCAAATGACTGGACTACTACAGCAACAGTAATTAGAGAGACAGGTAGGAAGGTACTTGGTGTGTCATCTGGACAGAGAATGGATGATAAGGAAACCTGGTGGTAGAATAGTGAAGTGCAGGAAGCCGCTCAAAGAAAGAGATTAGCCAAGAAGAAATATGACAGTGAGAGGACTGAAGAGAGGAGACAGGAATAAAAGGAGATGCAATGTAGAGCAAAGAGAGAGGTAGCTAAGGCAAAGCAGAGGGCGTACGATGAGTTGTATGGGAGACTGGACACTAAAGAGGGTGAGAATGACTTGTAGTGATGGAGTGAGGACAGAGTGAGATGGAGGAGGATGACTCACTGTGGCGACCCCTGAAGGGGGAAAAGCTGAAAGAAGAAAAATAAGAAGATCAACAGTTTAGTGATTAATCCTTTTAGCTGGTTTCAGCTTCTTCAACAGCTTTCAGCAAAGATCATTCAGTAAAAAAAAACATTTACACTGCATTTTCACAGGAAATATTTATCTAGTTTGTCCTTGATTTAGTTTCAGAAGGTTCCTAAACCACCATGGAGATTTATTCTGTGCAGTTAACAAGACTAACAGCCAGGTTTAGTCCTGGAGTGTGTTTTCATCACCCAGTCTGGAGTCACGCTGATCAGAAATGTTTTTAAACTGTTAATAGACACGTGTTTATGATTTGAGGGAGCATTTCTGCACAGGTCAAACCAACATCTGCACAAGTGGTATCAATTTTCAGGGGACTGGATTTATTATCTGTGCAGACTGTAGTGTTCAGAAATGCAGCACCACATTGAACTGATCCAAGCTCTATCCTACAGATGCTCTGTTGTAGACAAAGATTTGTATCCATCCATTCGTTTTCTGTAACCGCTTCTCTTTTCAGGGTTGCAGGGACCAGGTGCGTATCTCCACCAGTCATTGTGCGAGAGGTGGGGAACCCTGGAAAAGGTCTAGCTGCACTCTCACCTATAGGGGCATTTTAAAGTTAGCTATTAGCTTAACATGCATGTTTTTGGTCTGTGAGAGGAAACAAGTACTTGAAGAAAACCCACTCATGAACGGAGAGAACATTCAACAACTCCACTCAGAAAGTCCGCAGGCTAGAATATGATCCTGTGACCTCGCTGAGAGACAGCAGCTCTACCAACTGCACTTACGTATTACAAGATGCTGAACAATGCCACCAGAGTGGCTCCTCAGATTAATGAAGTCCTTTTGATGAAGGACGAAACGTCTCAACAAAAAAAAGAAGGGAAAAAAACATCCAGAGATGACCTGATTGAACTTTGTTGGATTTTTTGAGCATGAACTTTGATGTTTTGAACCACTTTGGTTATGGCTGCCTCAGAGGAGTCGATGGGGGAGAGGGCGGGCCCCAGAAACCATCTTATCACCAGCAAACTGATTGGTCCACTGTTGGAGTTGGCTGCTTGTGGGACTCAGTTTGTTTGTGGCTCCTCAGATGAATGAAGTCCTTTTGATGAAGGACGAAATATCTCAATAAAAAAAACATCTAGATGACCTGACTGAACTTTTTTGGTCTGTTAACTCAAGTTCTCGAACAGGACCATGCCTCACTTTTAATCACGCAACTTTTTTTTTTTAAGTCAAATTCCGAAAGTCTGCTTCTACACATATTTCAGCCCCTGACAAATTACACGAGATCTTTGTGTTTAAATTTTTGTCATTATCTGTTGAGGTCAACTGGACACTGTAGCTGTTTTATTTATTATATTAAAGACCCAAGTATTCTTTGAAAGAATGCACGTCACACATTAGTTTTAAACCGATCATCTTACACAGGGCAGAGTTGTAACCATTTTGGTCAAACCTTAAAAATAATAACATACAAGATCTTACTAGTCAAAGAATGTGTTGAAGATGACTCTCAGCTACTACCACACCATTTTTTGCTCACTATCTGTAAAACTGAGTTACAGTAATTTGGCTGATGTTAATTAGCTTTGGTGACAATCTAGGGTGTTTGCATGTTCTCTCCGTGCTGCATGGGTTTTCTCCAGAGTTTCCTCCCACAGTCCAAAAACATGCATGTTAGACTGATTGGTAACTCTAAACTGTCTCTAGGTGTGAGTGAGAGAGTGAATGGTTGTTTGTCTCGTTTGTCTCTGTGTCCCTGTGATGGACTGGAGACCTGTCCAGGGTGTCCCCCGCCTCTCGCACAGTGATGGCTGGACATGGGCACCAGTGAAGTTCACTGAGTTAACCCCACAACCTGAAAAGAAAGAAACGGGTAAAGAGAATGGATGGATGGACAATCTAGGGTATACTGGCTTCAAATAATCCTTTTTAGTTACATTCAATGCTTACTTCACGAGTTTCATCAAAATCTGTTCTATGGTTAATGAAATGTTTTGCTAACGAACAGACTTTGATAACAGACAGATGTGGGCGGCTGTGGCTGAGTGGTTAGAGCAGTCGTCCTCCAATGCAATAGTTGGGGGTTCGAATCCACCAGCAGTCACATGTTGAAGTGTCCCTGGGCAAGACACTGAACCCCTCGTTGCCTCTGATGTGTGTCCCATCAGTGTTTGAATGTGATAAATCACTGATTAGTCTCTTTAGAATGATTTGTTCAATTATCTTTGTAGAGATCTAGTATAGAGCTGTATGAATGGGTAAATGAGGCACAGATTGTTGTAAAGAGCTTTGAGTATCTTCTTAAGATAGAAAGGAGCTGTATAAGTACAGTCCATTTACCATTAAGTTAACACCAACAGGTAATGACAAAACATTAAACAAAAATCCAACAGTTTTCAGTCAGGTCATCTGGACAGTTTCTTTTTTTTTGCTGAAACGTTTCACCTTCCATCCGGAAGGCTTCATCAGTCAAGGAAACACACAACACAAAACTGATTCTTCCCCCGAAGAATCAGTTTTTGATCTCTTTCCATGGCGCTGAGCGCGTCAAATGAGACCAATTTCTTGTTGAGGAACCTGCAACCAAGAAAAGATGTCGGGTATCTAATTTGAGTTAATGTATTCTGAAACTGGCCCTTAGTTTGATATAGGGTTTAATTTTAACCTCCTAAGTGAATCTGATACCCCTGCTCTATGCCACTGCCAGTCAATCCAGCAGGCTTGTCAGCAACTGACCAGTCATCTATCTCAATTTGCCCCAAAGTGACACGCCCCTTACCTGCAGAGCTGCTGCACCCCTATTTTCTCTGACAACATTGTCAGGGTTTGGCATTTCAAACGTCGAACATTTTGTGGTCAGAGGGATTTCATGAAAATCATCAGAAAAAATGGTTAAACGTTATCAGTGGGGAACGTAATTCAGACAGCGTTACCCTGAGTGATTAGAGGGTGGAATACAGTTTATTCATTTTCCCAAACCTAAACTGAGTCTGGGAAAGTGTAAAAGATGATGAAGACCAGTGGCCGACCTGATGAGTAGCTGAATACAACAGTGATAAACAGAAAGTACTATGTACGAATGTAACTGCAGGTAAATCCTCCAGTTTTGTCATTTAACATTGTACACTTAATGGTTAAATTAAAGGTTAATTGCTTAAAGCTAGTTGTACTTTGTTTTGTTTGTTTTAAATGTAGATATATGTTGTAACTTCTGGTTGCATAAGTTTAGTCTTTGTTAGGTTCATTTAACACTAAATGATTTGTACAAAGCATTTGTTAGGTTGTGCAATGTAAAGCAAAGTGCTACATCTGTAGCATCTTAGCTAACGCTTCTGTATTGCACACTGCTAGCTTAGTGACACTTCTTATTGTGCCATGATCTTTAATATAGTTACTGACTCAAGTGTTTACTTATGTAGGTAAACGTAAATGTTTAAAAACCCCATTAAAATAAACCAGAATGCAGGAAATGGCATCTATTTTTTATTTTTTCAACATTTTCTGGGGGAGGACCCCCACCCCCCCACCAGTGTGCCCCCCCTTTACAAACGCTTTGGACACCAATGCCCACTGCGTTGTTCAAGCCCAGAACCATTGTCGACCCTGGGTCTAGGCACCCCTAAAGGTAGGATTCTAGAATCGCCCATGTACCACACAGACTTTGACCTCAACATCTGTAAACACTGCGTTATAATCAAACGTTAGAGAAGGTTTTGAGTAAGTAAGAAGAAAAGACAAGGCTTCTTCGAAGTTTTTCCTGTTTTTAACCATCTCTGTTGGTTACTGTCCCTTTAAGAACATTCGGTTCTTTCCGGAGAACTTCGGCGCCGCTCGTCATAGACCTCTTTCACTGCGGCTTCATCGCCAAGCGGACTAGCCCGCTGCCTTCATCCGTGCCCTGAGCGCAGACTTCGGATCTCTTACATTCCCAGTGTCTGTTCCGTGATCGCCTCCAGCTTCGGTCCAAATGCAAGCCATCAAATGTGTGGTGGTCGGTGACGGGTAAGAGCACGCTGTCAGAACCGGGCCGGGTGTCCGGGGTGCGGAGGAGGATGGAAGGATGCGGTGTAAGAAAAAGGGGCTGGGGCTGAGCGATGATGTTCGGTGGAAATCTGCTGCTGGCCGCTCGGCAGCTGCAGCTGGTTCTGCTCGGGGCACGGGGAGGTTCGGTTCTGGTTCTGCACCGGTGGCAGACTAAAGAAAGGGTCTGTCGGCCCTCCCTGTGTGTCGGTGGCAGCCAGGCCCCACGGCCGCTGTCATTTTACCGAGCAGCCGATCCCACCCAGTCTGAGGGGGAGACGGGCTCACGTCCACCGAGCCACTGTCCAATCCCGTGTCCTGTTGGACCCATAACGTCAGAATGACAAATGAGGACAGTTTCTCTGTATATTTATCTTAATGGGCTTTGTTTCTACAGAAATATCCAAAATTTGTCTTAATGTTATTTACGAGCTGTGACATTCAACCAGAAAGATAATGCATAAACAATGTGCTATAATATTCATTCAACCTTTATTTAGACAGGTTAATCCCATTATATAAGTACAAATAGATTTATACAGGAACTCTTTTATGTATTAGAACAATAACATAATGACATATTTGGTCTATTACAGATTTTTTTATTGGTAATTTGTGGCATATAATATATATATATATATTTATTTTTCAGTCTATATAATGTAATTTATATATACATATATATATATATATTTATATATATATATATATATAATCAAGATGTTGGTAGGAGAAAGACTTACATTATGTATTTTATTGGTCCAATATATAATATGGTTCATACCAGTTTACACGCAGTACATATATGCAATACCACAACTGTCTGTCTCTGCCTGTCCGTCCATCTGGTCTCTCTGTCTTTAACTTATGGAAAATGATAGTTGAGGAAATCAACAGTTTTTAACCTCGTGTTTCCAGGCTAAAATTATTGTAGCACTTTTTCTTGGCTTTTCTTAAAGGAGTGTTTCAGATCTGTGGCGTTCTGTGGAGTGGTTGTGAATCTGTGTGTGAACAAGTATAGTTTTATTTTGACAAGATTAACAAGCTAATGACTAGTCAGTGGGTGGAGTTTAATTCTTGATTAGGAGGTCAAACTCCATTTCCCCCCCATTCAGTTCAACCTTTTTTTATTCAAGTTAGTCTCATTGAGCCTCGAGGACTCATTTACAAGAACCATGCATATGCATGATAAAGATTATACATAAATATATTGTTTTACATTAAATATATACTGTGTATATTTTTTACATATATGTGTATGTGTCATATATTTAATTTCTGTATGTCAATAATGTCATAAGATTCCAATATATGAAATATGTTTATTTTATGTGTAGGGATGATGTTCTAGATGTAGGTGACTTTAATGCAAGTTAAACAGATTAAAACATAAGGTACTCCTCCAAGGAGTTAGAAGAACTATCCCCTGTAATTTATATAAAAACATGTTAAGTTTATGCTAAAATGGTTTTGAGTAAAGTAAAAGCGTATGTTTGTTCTGTAAGACAATTTCTTTTTGAAAGTATTGACTGCTGTCTACGTGGTTTGTGAGATATTTTGCTAACAGGCAGCACACACACACACAGAGACATACTAGTGAAAGCATTGTAATCCTTTTGCCTTTAGCGGTGGGGGATAATCATTGGCTGTACCGTGATTCAAGATGGCTGCCACATAAAACTGGCATTAGAAAACACCAAATGACTATAACTCTCTGAAGTTTACAGATATTTAACCCAAATTTGGTGTGGTAGTAGCTAAGCCTGATTAACAACCCATACTGTGACTGCTGGCCCTGTGATGGACTTGTGACCCGTCCAGGGTGTACCCCGCCCCTCGCACAGTGATTGATGGACATGGGCACCAGCGACCCCCGTGACCCAAAATGGAATAAGCGGGTAAAGAAAATGGATGGATGGATGGATGGATGGACTGTGAGTGCTTGTCTTAAAAATCTGGCTTATCAACCCTTTCTGTTTGTGAGCAGAATATTTCATGACCCACCTGACAGGTTTTTATGAACCCTCAGAAACTAAACTCTGGATGTTGATGTACAAATGATTAGAGTTTAATGTCGACCAAAATGTGTTTGCCACCACAGTTGATTGGTATTAGTAAGTGGGGATGGATGAAAAACCTGTATCAGCAGGGGCCTTGTAGGTGGCCCTTTTGCTTTCCCCAAAAAGACACTGAGCTTTATTCAAACCTTTGTGTCCCCCGGATGAAGGACACAAGGTCTGATACACGGTGTTCTGAGCTCATGATCCATGTAGTGTTCCCCAAGAATTCTTCTCTTTGACTGCTCAGAACAAGGCTATAGTCTAAATAATGCAAAGAGGTCTCTGCCACATTAATGCCACATTAATCACACAAACCATTGGTTCCCGGGCCTATCTACAGTCCGTCAGCTCCCTCCAGCGGATTGAGGGCTAACGTCTAATCTAGGCCTGTAGGGCAGTTCTGTAGACTGTTGTTGAAATGCCTACAACTGGCTCTGGTCCTTTGAAGTGGGCCTGGTTACCAGCTTTTGCAAGGTAGTCAGCTCTTTCATTACCATTGATACCAGTATGTCCCGGTACCCATTAAACAGTAACACAGTTGTCTCTCCCCACCTGAGTGACTGCTTCGGCAAACTCCCAAACCAGTGATTACGTAAAGCGTGGTGCTTGGGGAGTTCTAAAAGCAGCTTGGCTATCTGTTAGTATGAAAAGTTCCCTCTGTGTACACTGAAGGTCTTTGAGACAACACACACGCAGATTGCATAACTGTATCTCAGCTTGAGATACAATTACAAAACCACCCAGTGGGTAACTACTCTCTCTCTCACTATAGTTGTGCAAGATCAGCATTCAGCACCCCTGCACCTACTGACCCCTTCAGAAGGAATCCATCTTTAAACCGTAGAATTGATTGGGAGACAGATCCATCATAGAGAAGTTGCTCCAGGAAGATCTATCTTCAATCTTTGTCTGAAAACTTGTCTCAAAGTTGTCTTTTTTTACCATACTGTCTCCAGGTCCCACCATTACTGGAATAGAAGCAACTGACCAGTCCCAGATTTGAGTATGCTACAAGTCAGATGGCATAGGCGTTGCAACCATTATATGTGAAGGGGACAAGTCCCCCCCACATTCATAAAACGTTCATTTGGACCCCCCCCCACTTTTACTATAAAACATTAGTTCAGGCGGCGCAGTTTCGCTTTCTTCATGAACTAATCCATTCCACTTGATTAATAGGAGAATACTCAAACTACTAAAACTCCACTCCAGGTTTTCCTGGTTACCTCCAACTCTCCACCGTTCCTTCCTGCCTCTTGCCTCGGCATAAAACATGCACAGGTGCAGGAGATGGACCGACCTCTGTGTTACTCGCTCGCCAGTTTAGCAGCTTAGTGCGGGTAGTTGTTGACCAGGGGGGGTTGATCATAAACATATTCATGTTAGGAGGAGAGAAGTAGAGCACTACATCTGTAGCATGTTAGCTTAGCAGTAACTGTGATGCTGTGAGACGCTGCAGGTGTAAGAGATGTGGTGTGTTCAGGTGCATCAAAGTTGAAATGTCTTTAAAACCCCACACCTTATTATCCTGATGCATGCTCAATAATCCAGGTAGAAAAATCTAAAAAAGTTAAATCTGGTCCTCTGGATGTCTCTCGGATGAGAGACGAAACGTTTCGACATTTTTTTGTTGTTTTGCTTTGTTTTGTTTGTTTTTTTAATGTCCAGAGGACCAGATTTAACTTTTTTAGATTTTTCTACCTGGATTATTGAGCATGCAGCAGGATATTTTGAACCACTTTGGCCAGAATTGCCTCAAACTAGTTAGAGAGTTTGAGAAAACAGCAAGGAAGAGGGCAGACTACAGGAACCATTTGCGATTCAACCTCAGATGTCGACAAAGTGGCATCATTCCCAAGAGCCTGGAACTAAAATCTTCGGTCAGCGGGCACCGGGCAAGCAAGATCCTTCAGAAGGCACAGACCCAGCTGCTGAATGAACGGGTGAGACAGACCAATTTTACTATTGAGGCCTTGAAGGCCAAAGAAGAGCACATTAAACAGAAACTAACTACGTGTCTAGATCAGACCACACTTCAGCAAGTGTTGGACTGAACAGATCAGGCACGCTTAGCACAGCATGTCAAGTCCAAGACTCGACAACAAAACAAGTTTAACTTACTAATAACTCATCAACACCATCACTATTCCAATAACAACACATTCAGTGTAGGACAACACTCCAGTAGTCAATTACATGTCAGGGAGACAGAAAAGTGGGTGAAGAATTTATCTGACAGACTGCTCACCCAGCCGGAGACAAAGATTCTTGCCAGGGGACTGAACTTTGCAGTTGCACCAAGTAGAATTCCTCTGGTGGAGATGATCACAGCTACTGAGTCAGCCATCCGCAACAACAAAATGAAAGAGGCTGAAGCAGAACAGCTCAGAATCAAAGTTTCATCCTGCTTCAGCAATGCCAAACCACCACCTTCCAACATCAGTAGAGAGGAGAGGGGTGCACTCACCACTCTTAGCAAGGACAAAAACATCATCATTCTCCCAGCAGACAAAGGAAGGTGCACAGTGATTTTGAACCAGAAAGACTATCATGAGAAAGTTATGACAATCCTTAGTGACTTAACCACTTATGAACCTCTAAAAAGAGATCCAGGAAGTGGTTACAAGAAGAAATTGATAGATTGCCTGAACATTTTGGAGCAGGACAAGGCTATTGACCGTATTCTGTACCACAGTCTGTACCCAGGGGAGGCCACACCTAGTCTGTATGGTTTACCTAAAATCCACAAACAAGGTGTACCTTTAAGACCTATTGTTAGCATGATTAACTCTGTCACTTACAATGTTTCCAAATATCTGGCGTCTGTACTCATCCCTTTAGTTGGCAGCTCAGAACACCACATACAGAACACCATGGACTTTGTGGATAAGGTGAGGGATGTCATCATGGAGACTGATGAAACAATGGTCTCTTTT